ATATATATTACTATATTAAGTATTTAATATACATAAATAATTGAATTACTATATTTATATATAGTTATATATAATTATTTTATTATTTGTGTGTGTGTGTGTGTGTGTGTATTAAATTATTATTACCAAATTCAATAATTAAATATAAGAACACATTATACTGTATATAACTTCTGTTTATGGGTGTACTTATTCATTCATTTATTATTTTTCACTTGAACATAACATATTGTAATTATGACGTTTGAGCTCAGTGTGCCACAAGTGAAATGTCTGGTTTCATGAGACTATAGCTTTGCACTGACTGCTCTTTTGTTTTGTTTTTTTTGCTCCATATAGAACATACAGACTCAACAGCCAGCAATCTTCTCTTCTATATTGCATAGATCGCCAGGTGAGGAGTTTAAATCCCAGTGGGATCATGGGATTGAAATCAGCTGTGCTCCACACTCCGGCCTGGTGGGGGAGGTGCTAAGGATACGATCTAAACATTGGCAAGACCATGTGCCACACTGTGACCTGAATCAGATCCCAGGAAGCCCGCAGATTCCACCATCCCTTCCCATCTGACCAGCTCGGGGCGCTCAGACGCTCATATTGTGTCATGACACCTGGAGGAACCACAAGACGTCTCAGTGCCTGCAGTCACTTCCTGCCTGATGCTAAATCTGGCCCATGTAGGTAAACAGATTGTAGCCCAAAAATGGGCTAAAGAAAGGACAGTGGATCATTTTTAATGACTATCACTACCTGACAGCCAAAATGTGTTTTTAGACACACATTACTGTGGATTTTTATGCTGCTGAACTTGTTAGGATAAGATGCAAATGTGGTCAGAGCTCTCTATGCCTGCAACTCAAACTAAATTATTTAATTACCTAAAATAGCTAGCATGGTGGTCACATGCTGCAGAGAAAAGTACATTGGGTGTCTTTGTAATGCTAGTCATTTTAGTCGTTCAGTCAATGCTTTCTGTTTCTCTTTCCTCTAGGAATGAAAAAACACATTGTTTGCAAGTTTTTGTCCTGTAAAAAAAAAAGATTCCATTAATTTCCCGTCTCCTCTGTACTTTTAGAAGAGAACATCACAAAATGCTCAGATTTGCAAAAGAATGTCAGAGATTTCACTATGAACTCAAACATTTTTGTCATGAATTTCTCCCAAGGCCAGATCATCGATCCATACTAATTTCATAGATCTATACTCAGTGTTTCTGCAAGTTTTATGAAAGTAAATTTAAGACTTAAATTAAATGTAAAATTAAAGACCATTTTAAGACCAATTAAAGAAAATTGAAGGAATAAATTAAAGGGAACACAATATGTCAGGTTCTCCAAATGTAAATGTCTAAGGAGAACACGAGTTGTATTAAAAGTACTTCAAAGTTTGTAAATTTCGTTTTTTCTTTTTTTTTCTCAATTTCTTTTTAATTTTATTTAAAAAAAAGCTTAACTAGAATATAGAAATAATGTTTAAGTGATGTTCTGAGTATATTTTTGTCTTGTTTACCAGTGAAATGTCAAAAGTCTTAAATCAATATTAAATATAAAGTTAAAATATAAACAGATATTTGTTTTAAGCACAAACTCAATTTTGTTCAATTTCTAAAAAAAAAAAAGATAGCATATCTTAATTTTGAATCTCAAGTAAATGCATTTTGATTTAAGGATGTTTAGATATTTGTACTGCCATGACCTTATGACCTTACGAATTTAAGACTTTTTACTCCAATGTAAGTCCTTTTAAGGCCTTAAATTGTGAAAGGGCAAATTCAAAGTTTTTAAGACATGCATAAACTTTGCATAAAAATTCTAAAGTAAGTTGATACTAATGAAACATAAACCTCCTACGTGATTTAAGAGCAATAAGACCAATACAGGTTCCCTCTGGGTATATTTAGATAAAGATTTTATTTATTGCTTTGATTGCATTTGATTCATATTAATATGATGCATCCAATCTAATATAAATTTTTTTTTTTTGCCTTAAGATAAAATTTGAGTGCTCAACTTATGAAAATTAAAAAATAATAAAATTACATGCAATGACAAGCTTGATAAATGTTTATGACCTTAATATAAAAATGCCTGCGGTATGTTTAGAAAATTTGCCTAGTGTAAAGATGATCTCAGTCTGTTTATTTCTTCTTCAGAGTGGAGTAACTATCATCTACAAATACTGTAGGTTCAGAGGATCAGTGAGACGAGAACCACAACCAACTCATTACTGCGAAGAACCCATTAGCGTTTGCGAAACCATTTAACCATCCTGTCATTTCTGAGACAACAGCGTAATCTGCCCTAAGAACTCAACATGAATTTGAGTGTGAAATAATATGACTTTCCGTACGAGTGAACAACCAAACTATCATAAATCCATAGTAAAGCCTGCTGCGAAACTGCACTCATCTGCTCCAGGACTGGCAGTTAACCTTGCTAGGTAGAAGAAGAGAAAAGCAAATTCATTGTGTCATTAGGGCATCCTCAGAGGGCTGGCAGCGTTGTGATGCACCCAAGGTGTCATAAAGTTGAGGAGAGAAAGATGCTATCTGACAGCTCACTGCTCATGGAGTAGTGTGAGGAAAAACTGTGTATTTGAGCTATTCATGCACAAACTTTCTTTTCTGTAGAGTTTCAGATGAGGCCATTTGGTGTGTGTCAGCTGGGATAATAGACCACAGGCTAACTCTATAAATTTACTCAAGTAGGACATGCTCCTGCATTCACATAGTTGGCCCTGGATCAACATTCCTGTCATTGCGTTTTTTAGTTTTTTGATGAGTTTAGCAGCAAGTAAAATGCATATTTATGAGCATAACAGTATATTCCACTTTTAGCTTTGATGTCTGTCAGTGAAATGATCAGAAAGTCTAAACACATTTTCTGCAAATTTCTTTTATGTTTTCAGTACTCCAATTCTCAGAGACTGTTTTGTTATAAAATATTTAGATTAATGTTTACACACACTATTGTTCAAAAGTTTGGGCTCAATAAGATTTTTTTTAAGTTTTTCAAAAAAGTATCTTATGCTTACCAAGGCTGCATTTATTTGATCAAAAATACAGTAAAAACAGTAATATTGTGAAGTATTATTATAAATTAAAATAACTTTTCAAAAAATTCATTTTTCAGTGATGGCAAAGCTGAATTTTCAACATTACTCCAGCCTTCAGTGATCCTTCAGATATTAGTCTAATATGCTGATTTGTTGCTCAAGAAATATTTATTTATTATTATTGTTAAAAACAATGTTGAAAAAAAAAAAACTGCTGCCTAATATTATTGGGGAAACTATGATAATTTTTTTCAGGATTCTTTAATGAATTCAAAAGACAGGCATTTATTTGAAATCGAAATATTTTGTAAAAATATAAATGTATTTACTGTAACTTTTGATAAATTTTATGCACCTTTGCTGAATAAATGTATTAATTTCCTAAACGACTCCAACATTTTAAATGGTAATATATATTTAGTATATATAAAAATGTATAAGGTAGTATATTATTTAGGTATTATAATTATGTATGTAATTATGTAATCGTATAAATGTTATATATATATATATATATATATATATATATATATTATGAAGACATTAAGACTTTTTAAGGACCCGCGGACACCCTGATTATATGTTTAGACTAGGGCTGTCAATCGATTAAAATGTTTAATCTGATTAATCACATCCTTTTTCTGTGATTAATCGCGATTAATCACACACTTCATGAAATTAAGCATAGACCATTTATCTTGTTTCAAATGTTTATTTTGTAATCATTTGCTATATCTAGCAAAGTAAACCAAAATATTAAAGGGTGATTCTCAAAAATCTATATTTTCTGCTAGCTTTTTTCAAGATAAATTTAGATGTCTTTCCAAAAAAGGACACTTAGAAACTCCAAAAGGACACCAAAGAACCAAATGATATAAGGAGCCCATATAAGCACATATGAAAGAAAAAAAAAATCTGAATTTTATAGTATGTGTACAGTGCAACAGCAAAAATTGTTTTTTACATTTTAGAGAAGCCAAGTTGCGATACCGAACAGGACCACATGGAGATGCCAAAAAAAAACTAAACCAACCGCCTGCTGACTGCATATATCTACTACAGTACACGGATCCATTCAGTATAACTAAACACAGCAACATAAACATGACAAATCAAAACATTATCGTGAATGTGTGTGGAAACAACGTGAATGTACGGAAATGTCTGTGCCTGTGCATAAATACAATGTGCAATCAGTGCGTCAAGAGCACTCATACACGCATTTATTATAACGGACTCA